TAGTTATACAGCAGGAAACCTGAGACTGCTGAAGTCAGTTATACTCCTGTCAGTTGAGGCCAGATCAATGTCTGCATGGAGACTCTTCATAGAGGCTGCTTTTTTTTTATTTTTGCATTAATCAGACAGACTTTAGGAATTGTTCTCCTATTTAAAATTTCTCTTCGTAGTTATTGACTTTGATTTCTTTAAGGACGCGATGAGCAAGGAAATCGCCTTTGCAGACTTCTGTGAAGCACTGAAGATTGTGCAGCCTTCCTGTCTGAGAAGCAGCGTCGGACTTACTGACTTCAAACCTGTCCATTGGGATCAAATTGGTGGCCTGGATCAAGTCAAATTGAAATTGAGACAGGTGAAGAATGTAGCTGTGGCTTAAAGATACAGGTGGCTGTCATGACCCATGACCCATGCCCCTCCTATCTCAGAATTCTCTGTCGCCCACTCCCAGCTCTCTGCTCTAATGGATGAGGCAGATCTCGAATGCAGTCTGTAATTGTTAGCATTCTCTCTGCAGAGTATTGAGTGGCCAGTGCTACACCCGCAGGCATTTGAGAGGATGGGGGTGACCCCCACTCGTGGAATTCTGCTGTATGGACCCCCAGGATGTGCAAAGACCACGCTGGTGAAAGCTGCAGCATCCAGCTGCCGCTGTCCTTTCCTGTCGATCAGTGGGGCAGATCTCTTTTCACCGTTTGTAGGGGATTCTGAAAAGATTTTGGCTCAGGTGTGTATTTACAACAGGTTCACTCCAGACCATGTACAGCAAGTTTAGTAGTCACCTTATTTAAAGACTATACACTAGCCAAAGTCTTTTCAGTAAAAGGAAAGCCATATGCTTTATTATCTCCAACCCTGTAGTCAGATATTTCCCTTGTTCTGAGCAATTCAGTTATGTATATATTTCTCATGCAGTGAGAAGTTCACAAAATACCATTTTCTTTGATAATTCATATTTTTCTGAAGCCTGTGAGCAGTCCCATGTTCTTTAACACCCTAGTTAGCGTAAATTATCAAATCTGAAAAAAATAAATCTTGGCGATAGTTGGTTATATTAGTTCTGTTTGCTGCCTTCCCCCCCTCCCCCAGCACATTGACATTCTGCTCTGTTTAAAGTACAGGTTTTTCAGCAAGCTCGAGCTGTAGCTCCATCCATCCTGTTCCTGGATGAAATTGATTCCATCCTTGGATCACGTTCACTTGATGGAGCAAGTTGCCGTTCTGTTAAAGAGCGGGTACTCTCTGTTCTTCTTAATGAGATGGATGGAATTGGGCAGCCACTGATTGGGAGGAGAGACACAGAAAGGAAAGTACCTGCATCTGAAGGAAATCAAGTGGAACAGACAAAAAAGGTAAAAGATTAAACTGACCAAAATTTCATGTGCTGCTGATACATGCTGGTGCTAGGTGATTTCAGTGGAGTGAGGCGGGGGAGAGGAGTTGCTTCAATAAGATCATCTCCGTTCTATTAAACTGACTATAGGACTAACCTAACAAACCTCTCCTCAGAACAGACTCTGCATACCTGAAAGCAACCCAGTGAGCATTCTCTGGACTGTCTCCAGTGCCAGTATATCTTTCATTTGGTAATAGAATTAAAACTGTTCACAGTATTCCAGGTGACATCTAACTGGTATCTTGTATAGTTGCAGCAAGACTTCCCTATTTTATTATTCCATTCCCTTTGAAATTAAGGCCAGTATTCCATTTGCCTTCCCTATTACCCACTGAACCTGGATGCTTGATTTTTGTGATTCATGTATGAAGATGCCAAATCCTTTCTGTAGTCTCTCCACTTAAATAACATGCAGTTATCCTATTCCTTCTGCTAAAGTGCACTACCTCACATGTTCTCACATTTTATTCCAAGTGCTTAATTTTTGTCCGTTTGCTTAACCTGTTTATATCCATCCAACACCCTTGGCGTCAAAGTGGTGTGGAGTAAGGATGGAAATCTTTTGAGAGACAGTAAACACCAGCCTTTGGGGAGAACATTTCAAAGAACTGTTGAAGTATCATACAATCGGCAATGAGGATGTTAATTTAGTTTTGTGCGAGTTAGTTTTTTTTATTGTCACAGCTAGGGCGATACAGTGAAAAGTGTTTTGTCGCTGCAATCCGGCACAATTTTGAGGTATAAAAGAATAAAAAGAAAGTACTCAAATAGAGTTCATCTGCATTGACGGGTCCCAAACATGGCTGTAGTACCCTGCTCCGGACGGACTGCAGGCAGGAGTTTCCAATCTGCCGTCGCTGCGGCTGACACCTTGCCGCCAATTCCAGGAATCCACGCATCGGGCCCACAAATCCGGAAGTCCCTGCTCCAGTCAGACTGCTCCAGCATCACCATGACATCAGGAAGATGAAGAAAAGAAGAAAAACGAAAGAGAATGCGGCCAGCCTGGAGCGGATGGGCCTATTGTGCCACAGCTGCTGTTTTGAATAGCTGGGACAACTCTCCCCTCCACGCTGCAGAGCCCGCTGTCCTCTCCCCAGCATTGAGGCAGCAATTCAATTCGAGCACCTAGTGATGAGAGTCTTCAATGATCATGACATCCGTGCTGTTACTAAGAGCCTTGTGTATCAGGCAGTCATCTTTCTGACTGTTCTGTGTGGTTCTGGAACATGGGCTACATATAATTACCACCTCCAGGCCCTTAAGAAGTACCGCTAATGCTGTGTTGAAGCTTATTCTCCACATCAGCTGGGAGGACAAGTGTGCTAACAACAAGCAGCCAAATGGCACCAGCATTGGGGTCAAACTGATGCTGCTGGGCTGGCCACAAGTTTAAGTCCCAACTACCAAAGCAAATCATCTTTTCCTCCATTCAAGGAAAACACTAGAATGAGAGGGGCACAATGGAAGCATTTCAAAGACTCCTTGAAGGCTTTTTTTTTTCAAAAAATGCAACATTGATGTAAGCGCATGGGAGACCCACAGTCAGAAGAAACGGACTTGGACAAAGTTCCTGTATGAAGGGTCATAATTTTTTTTGATAGCATCCGTTCTCTGGAAAATGAACCAAAGACAGTAATGCCCAGAACCAGTTCTGCCTTCCAGAAGACCTGCCAGATGTGTGGTGGGTAATGCGGCTCAAGGATGGAGCTCGTCAGCCATAGAAGAACCCATTGGGCCAGAGACACAGAATTTGCTGGGTCGACAATCATCCTCTTTAACGAGTGACTACTAATGATAACTATATACCTCTGCAGTCTCCCATTGTGTCATCGTCGCCACTTGCCGTTCCCACCTTTTTGTGTGATATACAAATCTGCCAATGATTCATACACGTTTATCATTGGTATCATTTGTATATTGTTTGTTAATCCAGTTGTGAATTATGGTGATGAATTAAACCACTCACTGGAGGTGGCAGCTCCACAAATATCATCCTCCTCAACAATGGGACAATCCAGCATACCATTGCAAAAGATAATGCTGAAGCATTTGTGATGATCCATCAGTGCTGTCGATTCACTGTGTAATGCAGTGGCAGTAGATATGACAGCTGCACAAAACTATCATGAATTGAGAATTAATGAGCTCATTACTTATTCTCTGGGAAATGTCACAATGACGTTTGGAGCTACTTTCCTTGAGCTGAGCTTCAGTTGTATAGCTGAGAGTAAAACCAGTTTCAGACATCACTGAATCTGTATAGAAATGAATAAGATAGACCAATAGCTTGGAAAAAATCAATTTTGAAACTGTTTCAACCAAACTGTAAAAGAAGGAAGGATTGGAGTCATAGAATAATACAATACTGAAGGGGCCATTCTGCCCGTTGTACCTAATGCAGGCTGTGGTAAAACTGGCCAATTAGGGAATGATTTCTGACAAAATTCATGTTTGACAGCAGGTTAGAGAATCTCTGAATTGCAAGCTCCTTCTTCACAGCTGATTTACCACAAGGAGAGTTCCTCTTTTATAAATCTCATGACCGTTGGTAGCATGGAGAGTTTTTTTTAAAATTCATTCATGGCATGAGGGCATTGCTGGCCAGGCAGCATTTATTGCCCATCCCTAAATGCTTAGACGGCAGTTGAGTTAACCAAATTGCTGTGGGTCTGGAGTCACATGGAGGCCAGACCAGGTAAGGATGGCAGTTTCCTCACCTAAATGACATTAGTGAACCAGATAGGCTTTTCCAACAATTGACAATGGATTCACGGTCATCATTAGACTCCTTACTTCCAGGTGTCTATTGGATTCAAATTCCACCATCTGCCATGCCGGGATTCAAACCTGGGTCCCCAGAATGTCTCTCGGTCTCCGGATTAACAGTCCAGTGATACCACTAGGCCATTGCCTCCCCTCTTTTCTTGTAACTTTTCAACTAGTCAAAGTTACTTGCACACTATTGTAGTTTGCATCAGGCTCTAGTGTTCTGCTGGGCAGTAAAATCTCTACTCAAAATCCATCATTGGCTGGATCCATGGCTGTAGCACGAGCTTGGGACCGTTTCCCACTTCTCCTGCAGCTTAAGCATGAAGTTTAGTTTAAAGGAGCAAAAACTTAAAAGTTGGAAGGTTTCAGTCTGAAAGGGTTATTCAATTTTTTTAAAAACTGACTTGCAAGTGACTTTAGATGTGAAAATGAATAATGTCTATGGAACTGTTCAGTGTGTCTTTATTGGTTGATTTTTAAATTGTAATAATTATGGCAATACTCACTTCTCAGACGTTTGAGACAATTAATTTGATTTGGTCGGTTGAAGTGCAATGTGAGATCTGGTCTTATCACCACAAACTCAAATCAATTGTTACTTCTGCCAAATAGCTACAGTGAAAATTAGCACATACTCTTTTCTGCATACAGATGCTGGATTCAGTCTACCCTGGTAACTGCCAGCAATGACCATTGTGGAATTTCCAGGACACTTGTATTGATGTCTGCAGGTCTCATTAATTTGATTTGATTTTATTTATTGTCACATGTACCTTGTTATTTACTGTATTTTGCTTAGTGTTGCCACACTCTGGTGCCATCTTAAAATACACAAAAAATAAACCAAAACATAGAATATGAAGGGAGAAAAATAAAGAAATAGTGTCCAACTTTACAGTCCTCCTTGTTAAATACTCGGTCATGGGCCTGGTGGCCAGGTATGAGACCCATTTGCCACGCTGCCACTGGAATGAAACTCGCCACTTTTCGGCACCATCTTTCCTCCACTGATGCCCTCCCCTCTGTGTCCTCACTGGACCTCGCTGATGTTGCTGGTTACTGCACCGGCCTAAACTCGATTCTTCCACCGCCACGAATCTGCTTCGGACCCACCTCGCTGATGCCATCAGGTGCTGTGCTGGGCCCAAACCCGCATCAGCAGTGACCACCTCCATGAATCTGTGCTGGGTGCAGACACTGCTGGCAGCCCTCCAATGCAGCAGCCATGAGTTGATGCTATGATCACCTTGCCGATACAAAAGCTGCTGAGGCTCGAACTCCCCTTTGCTGCCACCATGAGCCTGCACTGCTGGGCCCACTCGAGCCTGCCCTGCATTTCAAGTCTTTGAATATTTTTAAGGTAGCGGTAGTTACATTCTTATTAAGCAAGGGGGGAGGTGGTGGCAAGTTGAGGTAGGCAGGAATGTATATTCAAGTTTACAATCGGATCTTCCAAGATATCATTGAATGATAGAGCAGCCTCTGGTCTGAATGGCCTGCATCTCCTAATTGATAACATCTCTAGGTCAAAATGTTCAAGTTAGATTGGAAGTGTTCATGATATAAACTGGTGGAGTGCTGAATTTCCCACACTCCTGACCTTTTGGATAAGACATTGAGTTTCTCAATAGATGGATATTGAGATCCCTGGGCTCCACTAAAAGTTATGGGCTATTTTGATCATGTCCTATTTAATTTTTCTATCAAGCGACGAAAGTAAATGCTTAATGCACTTCTGCTTGCATCATGCTTGAACTGCCAACAAGCAGTCAATAAATGGGTCAAAAGTTACATTTTTCTAAACTAGTTGAAAGTTATGTGCGAGTATACTGATGACCCAAACAATGCAACAAGAAGTACAGTATTTGTATGTTGCTCAGGCTGTTCCAAAATGATGATAACTCTGATCGCAGTTTCCAGCAGCTATGAACAAACCTTCAAATGTTATGCAGGTGTTGACATCATGGATGTAGATGGGAACAAAACTGCTCCCCCATTAGCTGTCTACACCTCGCAACAGGATTGTTTAAAACTAAACTAATAATTCCTGATTTGATTAATCTGATATTAATCATTTCTGACGGTAAACAGGAGACTCCTATCTACCCGATTTTGCTTTTTTTATTGACTTTGTTATTGAGAACTTACATTTCTGCTGTTTTACTGAACTGAGAAGGAATTTCTTCACCCAGAGGGTTGTTAATCTATGGAATTCCTTGCCCAGTGAAGTAGTTGACGCTACTTCAGTAAACGCTTTTTAAAAAAAAATAGTAGATTTTTTTTGAACAATAAAGGAATTAAGGGATACGGTGAGAACACGGGTAAGTGGATCTGAGTCCACGAAAGGATCAGCCATGATCTTATTGAATGGCGGAGCAGGCTCGAAGGGCCAGACGGCCTACTCCTGCTCCTAGTTCTTGTGTTCTTGAGGAACAGAAGTGGTCTCTATCCCCAGTGTCCAAAATTGCATACGTTGTTTAACATTCCAACAGCTTTTCTCAAGCACTCAATTTGAGCCTAATAGAAGTTTTTTTTTTTTATTTTGTTTAAAGTTTCAGGAGATTTGTAACAAAGATGTGATCGTAGTTGCAGCTACAAATCGGCCAGACCTAATCGATGATGCTTTGTTGCGACCTGGAAGATTTGACCAAATCATCTCTGTTCCATCTCCAGATGAAAATGTAAGTTTGGGTTTGAAGTTAATCACTGACACCCTATTACTGTGCACTTTGGTGCCGAGGCCTCTGTTAGTAAGCAGATACTACCTATACTCTGGAGCTTTCAGCTGTATTCATTTTTGTCACAAAGCAACAAAACCTGCTCATAAGAAAAACTTGTATTTAAAACAGAGCCCTTCAAGGCACCCAAGACATCCTAAATTACTCTGCATTGGAGTGTAGTCACTGTTGAAATGCAGCAAGGGAAAAAAGAGGGAGAAGATAAACTTTGAGGATAAGCTTGCAAGTAGTATCAAGGCAGACAGCAACAGCTTCTTTAAATAATATAAAAAGGAAAAGAGAAATCGAATTGAACCTAAGCCCCTCAGAAGCTGGAGCTGGGAAAATATAAGTCCCCTAAACCTGAAGGTATACATCCTAGGATATTAAAGGAAGTAGCTACAGAGATAGTGGATGCACTGTTGTAATCGTCCAATCCTTAGATTTTGAAAATGTCCTAGAGGATTGGAAATCTGCCAGTGTAACACCTTTATTTGAGAAAGGGAAGGAGACCAAAGAAAGATAACTATAGGCCAGTTAGTTTAACGTCAGTTGCTGGGAAAAATATCTACTATAAAGGACATAATAGAATTGCAATACATGATCGAGTGGAGTTAGCATGGCTTCATGAAGGAGAAATCCTACCTGAGAAATTTGAGAATTTTTTGTGGGGGTAACAAGCAGGATAGATAAAAGGAAACCAGAGGAGATGATGTATTTGGGTCTCCAGGTGTTTTGGTAGGGTCTCACGCCTCAAGCTAGTTCAAAGGGGTTAAAATACGAACACCACCAGAACATGGATAGAGGATTGGCTAATGAGAAGATAGTTGGGATTGGGGCCCATTTTCTGGTAACTAGTGGTGTGCCACAGGGGCCACAATTATTTACGATATTTATTAACTTGGATGAGGAAAGTGAATGTACTATAACCAAATTCGTGGATTACACAATAGATGGGATGGCAAGTGATGATGAAACAATGAGCCTGCAGAAGGGTAAAGACAGGTTGAGTGGGGAGAAACTCGGCGAATGGAATACAATAAGGGCAAACATGAGGTTATGCACATTCACCGAATAGAGGAGCTGAGTATTATTTACTTGGAGAAGGACTGCAGAATGCTACAGAACTGAGGGATTTTTTAATTCACTGTGCAATGTGGGTGTCACTGGCTGGGCCAGCATTTATTGTCAATCCCTAGTTGCCCCCTTGAGAAGGTGGTGGTGAGCTGCCACCTTGAACAGCTGCAATCCATGTGCTGTATGTAAACTCACAATGTCCTTGGGGAGGGAATTCCAGGATTTTTACCCAGCAGACCGAAGAATTGGTGATATACAGCAAACTTTGTTAACCAGCACACTCGATAAACTGGCAAAAATTACATACATTAAATATCAGAAGCTTACTGTATTATCAAAATCTCCGTGATGTCTGAGTAGTCAGTTGAGGATGTGAGTGAGAAGACTCTCTGCCTGTTAGATTTATTTAAAGCAGCTTTGCAGTATTAATGAAGTGATTTATTCTATAAGTAAAGTATAACAGTGATGTGTATACCCCCTGCATTCAGTTTCTAGACCGAGTGCCTTTTTACATTAATTATGTGGACCTCTCGATCAATCTGCAAACTTCTGGTCCCATAGGTGCCAGTTAATAAAATGTTTCACTGCATTTCCAAGTCAGGATAGCAAGTGGCTCAGGGACCTTGCATTTGCTGTTACCATGAATCTGCTGCCCTTCCAGATGGAAAAGATTGTGGATTTCGAAGGTGCTGACTTGAGTCTTTTGGTGAATTTCTGCTAATGAGGGAATGAATGTTTGTGAATGTGGTGCCAAACAAGTGGGCTCCTTTGGCCTGGATGGTATCAAGTTTCGTGAGTGTTGTTGGAGCTGCACCCATCTAGACAAGTTAGAAATATTCCATCCCCCACTCCTGACTTGTGCCTTGTAGATAGTGAGCAGGCTTTGGGGAGTTTCTGGTCAATGATAACCCACAGAAAGCTGATAATAGGGTATAAAGTGATGGTAACGCCATTGAATGTCAAGGAATGGTGGTTAGATTGTCTCTTATTGTGATGGTCACAGCCTGGCATTTGTGTGGCGCGAATGTTACTTGCCACTTGTCAGCCCAAGCCTGGATATTGTCCAGATCTTAGTGCATTTGAACATGAACTGCCTCAGTATCTGAGGAGTTGCGAATGGTGCTGAACACTGCAATGATTGGCAAACATCCCCACTTCTGACCTTGTGGAGCAAAGTTCATTGAAGCAGCTGAAGATGGTTGGGCCTAGGACACTACTGTGAAGGACTCCTGCAGAGATGTCCTGGAGCTGAGATGAGTGACCAACAACCACCACAACCATTTTTCTACATTTCAGGTATGAATCCAACTCTCAAACTTTGTCCCCAGTTCCAATTTTGCTAGGGCTTCTTAATGCCGCAATCAGTTGAACGCAGCCTTGTTGTCAAGGGCTGTCACACTCTCCTCACGTCTGGAATTCACCTCTCTTGTTCATGTTTGCACCAAGGCTGTAATGAGGTCAGGAGCTGAGTGGGCCTGATGCAACCCAAACTGGGCATCAGTAAGCAAGTTATTGCTAAGTAGGTGCTGCTTGATAGCACTGTTGATGACATCTTCCATCACTTTAATCGAGAGTAAATGGAGAGGTGATAATTGGTCGTGTTGGATTGGTCCTGCTTTGTGTATGAACGTAACAGGGCAATTTTTCCACATTGTTAGGCAGATGCCAGTGTTGTAACTGTACAGGAACAGCTTGGCTAGGGGATTGGCAAGTTCTAGAGCACAAATCTTCCATACTATTGCCAGAAGGTTGTCAGGGCCCATAGCTTTAGCAGTATCCAGTGTATCCAACCATTTCTTGTTATCACGTGGGCCTTGGGGACTGGTGGAGGAGGCCAAGAATGGTCATTCACTTGGCATTTCTAGCTGAAGGTTGCTGTGAATGCTTCAGTTTTATCTTTTGCACTGATACATTGTCCTCCTCCCCTCATTCAGGATGGGGATATTTGTATAGATTCCTCCTCCAGTAAGTTGTTGAATTGTCCACACCATTCATGACTGGATGTGGCAGGATTGCAGAGCCTTTGTCTAATCCATTGCTTGTGAGATCACTCAGTTCT